TTATTGCTCAAGAAGTAGAGGATGCAGAATACATGGCTCGGAAGTTGGTTGTCGAAAATCGGAAGTGAGACTTAGAAGTCGGCATTCTCAAAACAGAAAAGTTAAGGTCAGGAGGCGATCAGCAAAGCATAGATTTAGATGATGGCCAGGAAATCAGAGGTTGGGAACAATACAAGCACCTCGGTGTGCGTTTAACATCAGATGGCAGACTGCTTCCTAGATGACATGTCCAAAACATTGAAGTCCAAAAATTTTACGTCCAGAAATTTCTTATGTCCAATTATTCACAAGTCCAATTAACTAATGTCCGAAAAACTAAGTTGTCCGCATACAAAAAAATTTAAATATGGAAGTCCAAAACTATGAAATGTCAAACAAAGGTACCATACAATGTCCAATGCCGAGGAAGTGGTGTCTATACTCTATTATGTGAAATAAAAAATGCTGTTTTTTCTCTCCCCCCCCCCTTACATAAGGGCCTATGTTAATTTCTGTCTCAAACTAACCTTGAGTATAACCTAAGTCATCGATGGATGGTACAGTTGATGTTCAAAATTACTTCACATTACGACTTTGCATTGAATGAACTGGTTACTATGACTTCAAACGTTTCAATATTTCTAACCTCATGCACCATTCAAAATTAATGCTTGTTTCTGCATTTGCTAATATCCTCACTGACAATTACAAAATTACAATTAATCGTTGAAACCAAAATTACTCCGTTGTTTCAGTCATCAAAATTCTATCAGTAAGACATTGCTCTCTTTTCTGCCTCTATTTTTTATTGCAATGACTACTCTTATAACCTCCAAAAAAAGGAAACAAATTCTGAGTCATGAAAATTTCTTGTATCGTTATCATTCCAAAAATAAGCAGGAGACGCGAAGTTACTGGAGGTTTGAACGGAGGGAGAAGTGTAATGCACGTATTGTGACAAACTACAGCGTTCATGAAGGTATTACAATTTTTAAAGGGCCAACAGCTCACAGTCATGAACCGAATGCTGCGGAGGTGGAGGCTAGAAGAATTGTTGCAAATGTGAGAGACACGGCCCGTCAAAACCCGAATAGTCCACCGAATGCCATTGTCGACGATGCAGTTGAGAATGTGCACGACGAAGAAGTGCTACATTTGTTGCCAGAGAGAACACACTTACTTCGTATGACGAACCGCAATCAGAATTTTGCTACACCTCAGATTCCGGAATCGCTTCAAGACTTCAAATTGATTCATCCCTATGATAAATCAACAAGGGGCGGGCTCTTTCTACGTTTTGATAGCGGTCCAGAAGATCCAGAACGGAAGCTTCTCTTTTTCTCAGATACTGGGTTTCGAAATTCATGTTCCAGCAGGATAATATTATGTGATGGTACGTTCAAAACTGTCCCACATATGTTTTACCAACTGTACACTGCGCATGGAGTTGTGACAAATAATGCAGTGACGCATGTTTTTCCTCTCGCCTATTGCTTGTGTACACGAAAAACTGAACAGACCTATGTCTGGTTTTTTGAGAAATTAGAAGAATATGCCGACCCATTAATTAAGAGCTCAATCCTCAACATATATTGATGGACTTCGAGGTTGCCGCAATGAACGCAGCCAGAACGGTATTCCCAGATGCAGTGATTAAAGGGTGCTTGTTTCATTTCTCACAGAGTATTTGGCGCCGCGTGGTAAATTTGGGATTAAGAAGTAGATACCTAGACCGAGAGAATCCATCAGTCCGTCATGACATCCAAAAACTTTTAGGTTTACCTTTTGTGCCATTGAAATGTGGGTGTCGCAAAATGATGTGATACATGAATGGCAGGCAGGCTTTAGGAGAGGCTACTCAACGATTGATAATATTTTTAATCTTATTAGCATCATTAAAATTCATCTTAGTGCTAAGAGGCGAAAAGTGTATGCCTTTTTTGTTGATTTTTCGGCAGCCTTTGATCACGTTGATAGGTATAGCCTCTTTTGTAAGTTGACGGCAATGGGACTGTCGAGTAAAATAGTTAAAGTAATAAGAAACATGTATACGGGTACGGGAGCCAGTATATGGTGCCAAAATGAAGTTACGGAGGAGTTTGAAACCACAATGGGTGTGAAACAAGGATGTATCTTAAGCCCAATACTATTTGCCTTATTTATCAACGATATTTGTGAGGGCATGAGAGGAGGAGTTAAGATTGTGCAGGCAAAATTTTTCGTCTAATGGCATATGCTGATGTATTGTTTCACTAGCGTCTAGCAGTTCAGAATTACAATTAATGATAAAGTGTTTGGAGCGATACTGTCAAAAATGGAATTTGCATGTTAATCTGGACAAGTCCAAGATTGTCATCTTCAGTAATGGAGGGAAGTTAGCAAGAAATGAGCGATGGTGGTACAATGGAAAAAGAATAGAGGTAGTAAACGAGTATAAATATTTAGGAGTCATTTTAACATCAAAGCTGTCTTTTTACAAACATTTTGAAGCCAAAGTGGCAAGTGCGCAGCTAGCTATGAACTCTCTAAATAACATAACTTTCAACAATGAGATGCCATTTAGTTCAAAAATGCAAATCTTCAATGCGGTACGTAAAAGTATGGTTAGCTGCGGTGCCCAAATTTGGGGAGCGAAAAGCTACAACGCGTTGGAGGTGTTTCAAAAGTTTTTTATTAAAACAACATTGAGACTACCCCTATATACACCTGATCATATTCTGTACCTGGAAACCCATATACTACCGTTGCTCATAAATACCGTCAGAATACATCTAGCCTACAAAAATAGGTGTTTAAAGCTAAAAGATGATAGATACCCCAACTTCTTTGCTTAAGAAATTATAAAAAGGAAACTGTTCTGGTACAAAGACTGGACAGAATTACAACAGGTGTATGGAGTTCCATTGGAGGAATGTATTGAGGAGACCACGGATATCAACCTGGTAGTGGCAAAAATGAGTGAACATCTGAGAGGCCATTTCGAGCAAAAAGTGGTTGAGTGCGTTAAGAGAATTACTTACAAAGAACTTTATTTTAGAGATGTGACACACAATTGGATGGATGATCAGGAAATACAAGGCTCAAATATCAGCTGGATGTTAAAAATTAAGTGTGAATTGTTGTACCTAAATGCTTATTCTTTTAATAGCACAAAGGAAATCTGCTCGCTATGTAATGCAAGAGAAAGAGAAGACGTTTTTCACTTTTTGGCAGTCTGCCCCGTGTTGCGGGAATTTAGGATTGAGATTTTGAGCGAAAGATGTTTTTCAAAGGAACGTTTTTTTGACCTCATAAACAATGGAGAGAGTGTTACAAAGATAGTAAGGTATTGTAAAATTGCTTGGGGTTATAGACAGATGTTAGTACAGGAATTTAATTATTAACTAAGAGTAAAAAATATCTTTCTGAAGTTGCGTTCATCTTATCATATTATTGTCTGATTTCATTATATTATATCCTGATATTCTTGTATATTTCTTGTATCCTTATATTGTATGCGGGCATGGCCGGTTTTTAAGCTAACCTCCCCCAGACGGCCTAGGCCATGGGGTATTTGGGCGTGATAAAGTTTTCTGTTCAAATTGTATGTGTGATTTCATCATCAATAAACGCTATTATTATGTTTTGTGCCATTGAATGACATAATCCGAGTTTTCAGGGATATAAAAAGTAACGCAGATCCTGATTCTGCGCAGCTTCTCATATATGCCGAAGAAACGTATGTTGTCGGTAGAAGATTGAGACGAAGAAACGTGCCTCCGACTTTTCCTCCTACCGTGTGGAATGCTTATAACGAAACAGTAACCAGAGCAATGCGGACCACCAACACTGTGGGAGGGTGGCACTCGCGGTTTCAGCGACGAATTATCACGCACCATGCCAATCTCTGGAAATTCATTGAATTTCTATGCAAAGATGAACAAGCAAACTTTGTTGCTATCACACAAATTAACGGTGGACGTACGAGGATTCGATATCCAATCAAAAGGCTATATCGAATGAACTTGCAACAGGTTGAGAGTATTGTGGACAATATGCAGACCACAAACAAGCTGGAACAGTGGACACCTACCTCCGCGCCATCAGTTATAGGCTTAAATTGAAAGTTCCGCCTGCAGAAGAAAACGCATAGTTCCCCTCCTCACTCATGGTAAATATTTTGGCCTTTTGAAATCGGACTTAATGCATTTGCGCATTTCATTAATGGGCTTATGTATATTTGGACTTTCAAGATTTGGACATTATGATTCGGACGTTTCGCCTTTGGACGTACCATTTTGGACATTACAGTTTGGACATAAAAATTTTGGACCCAACATCCGTGAAACGGCAGACTGGCCCAGGTAATCAAAGATGGTAATCTACGGGGAAGAAAAGCCATTAGAATGATGAAAGGTGATGGTTCTTTGGGACCAGACTACATCCAAAGTTAACAAAAAGCGAATTTACAACTCCATCATCGAAACCATATGGCAGCGAGGTACGGCAGTAGAAGAAACGGTCCCAGGACATTCCTAAGGCAACTGAGATGGATTTCTGGCGCAGATCGGCCGAAGTGTCAAGGAACGATCACGGAAGTTGGAAGGAATTCACGAAGGATTTGAATGAAAGGATACGTGAAATTATGGGCATCGAAAACAACAAGGTGCATGACATTTTCACGAAACAGCTTGTCTGATATGGACACGTGCAAAGGATGCCAGACGATAGGTTATCAACGAAGGTTTTGGATTGCCGCCCACCCCCCCCCCTCCCGCAGAAAACGTAGAGAAGGCCCTGCTAAATCGTGGATTGGTGGAATAAGGCAGAAAATGAAGTGATGCGATTTGCTGAAGGAGCTCTCGGCTCTGGCAGGATCGCCATCAGTGGCGGTTGGGTGTTGCAGAGCCTATGGAAGCCCTTAAGAGCGGCATCTTAGTACGGGTGGTAGTAGAAAGAACAACTTCAGCAAGGATAAGGACATGAGTGAAAAGACGGCACGAAATAAGTTTCAGAGAAAAAAGTACGGCTCTGATACTCACATGAAATATAAAAACTTCAGTCCATCGAATGAGCCTCGAATTTCCAAAGAAGTCAGTGCCATTATGAACCCTAATGGAAGGGATACCATCCAGTGATTTTCCATCAATAACACTTTTGACTCTGAAAAAAAAAAATAATCAAGAATTGGAATCAAATTTGTATTGAAAACGAAAAAAAAAAAAAATACGAAAAAAACCGGCGCTTTTCGGAACGCGAGGAAAGCTCGCGTTACAGTAAGAGTTTTGTGCGCACCCAGCTATTTTTAATTTTCATATGAACCGCGTATCCACCGCGGGAAGCAAGTATACTTCCCGAAGTGGGAGCGGTGATTAAACCAGCGAGTTCAAAACACATGAACTCGGTTTTTTTTTATCGATTTTTACTTTTTCACGGTTTAGAAGCAGACGCATCTGCGCGCAAAAGAAACTTAAGGAATTGCTCGAAAATGCTCGAAACAGTGACGGAAAAAGGACGGGGAAACAGAAAACACGCTCTATTATTGGGCCTCTCTACATCATTTGGAGGAGGGGGGGAGAGAGCAGTGGACTTTCCCAGGGCCGGTAACTTATTAAACACTTTTCTTGGGTACATAATGCCATAAACTAAAATATTTATCAGAAAACATACTGAAAAAAAGAAAGGACTTAGTATTTTAATGGAAATACCGAATTTGGGCCTTTCGAGAAAAAAGGGTGGCCAATCGATTTAATGGTTTTATTTTTTCGATTCAATACATCTTATACCAACAAATTGCGAAAATTTTCAAAGGTTACATGTCAAAAAATTATAAATTCTTCGGGATAAAAACCATGAAAAATCAGTATCTGAAAGTCAGTGAGAACAAGAGCATACGAACTCGGTCACTTGTAAACGCCTAATTACCAGTCATTAAACATGGCGGATCTATTATAACTTGCAAAGAGAAGATACGAAGTGACATCCTGGGATTGGGTTCATTTCGCTTGTGCATGAAGAATAGACAGATTCAAGGTTGACTTTTTTTTTTCTTCTTTTTTTGTAGGCGCCACCTCTCAACCGTTCTCGAGATATCGATTTTCAAAGTTACGACTTTTTCAAGGTTCCACGCGGCGTTTCGGCGAGTCAACTAAGCGCCGCTGAGCAACAAAAATCGCCCTCCATATGAGCGCCGGTCAAGATGGTATACAGGGTGCGGCAAAAGTCCCGGAACCCCTGTTTAATTTTTTTACGGCTGCAGCTAGGAAAATGAAATTTGGGGGTTAGTCCTAGGTCAATGAAATCTACTTTTTGACCCACCCCCAAATTTGGGGGGGGGGGTTATGGACCCTAACTTTTTTTTTTTTTTTTTAATGGGAAGACCCCTTTGTGATACCTCGTTCGAAAGAGCATAAAAAAGAAAATTTTTCGCGTAAACCCGAAGCCATAATCTCAAACCGTTTCAAAATGGCGGCCGGTCAAAGTTCAAAGTGGCCGAAAATTGGCACCTCTGCTATTTGCACATGGATTTGCTTGAAACTCGGTGTCTGGAGATATTTCGGCACGAGAAAAACGAAATTGACGTTGGATTTTTAAAATAACCCTAATTTTTCAAAATGGCCACCGGTTTAGGCTTAAAGTGGCCGAAAATTTGACAAACTCGATTGTTTGGGTTTGTTTAAAAATCTAACGTCGAATTCGTTCTTCTCGGGTTAAAATACCCCCAGAAACCAAATTTCAGGCGAATCCATCGGCAAAAATCGAGTTTGTCTAATTTTCGGCCACTTTGAGCCAAATCCGGCGGCCATTTTGAAAAATTAGGGTTTTTTAAAAAATCTAACAGCAAATTCGTCAGATACCGAATTTTAAGCAAATCCATGTGCAATAAGCAGAGTTGCCAATTTTCGGCCATTATGAACTTTGACCGGCCGCCATTTTGAAACGGTTTGAGATAATGACTTCGGGTTTACGCGAAAAAATTTCTTTTTTTATGCTCTTTCGAACGAGGTATCACAAAGGGGGTCTACCCATTTGAAAAAAAAAATTAGGGATTGCAATGCACATTTATTTTAGTCATTTCGTTAATATTTTTTAAAATATTTTTTATTGGTTTGTTTCTTTTCGTTTTTCATTTTTTTAGTTCTTTATTTTTGTAATTTATTTTATTTTTTATTTTATTTTATTAGTTATTTTATTTTATTTTTTACTTTATTTTATTTGTTATTTTATTTTATTTTTTATTTCATTATTTTTTTGTTTTATTTGATTCTTTAGATTATTTGGTTTTTGATTTTACTTTATTTTTAAATTTAATTTATTTATTATTTTATTTTGGTTTTTTAATTTTATTTTTAATTTTACTTTATTTTTTATTTTATTTTTCATTTTATTTTATTTTTTATTTTATTTTATTTTTTATTCGATTTTATTTTTATTTGATTTTACTTTTTAATTGATTTTATTTTTCATTTAATTTTACTTTTTACTTTATTTTATTTTTTGTTTTACTTATTATTTTATTTTGTTTTTTATTTAATTTTTTACTTTATTTTACTTTTTATTTTATTATATTTTAGTTTATAATTTATTTTATTTGTAATCTACTTTATATTTCTTTACTTTATTTGTTATTTTACTTTATTTTTTAATTTATTTTTTATTTTATTTTATTTTTCATTTTATTTTTTATTTTATTTTATTTTTTATTTGATTTTATTTCTTATTTTATTTTTTATTTGATTTTATTTCTTATTTTATTTTTTATTTGATTTTATTTCTTATTTTATTTTTATTTTATTTTATTTTTTTTTTCTTCTTTTTTATTTGATTTTATTTCTTATTTTATTTTTTATTTGATTTTATTTCTTATTTTATTTTTCATTTTATTTTATTTTATTTTTTATTTTATATAATTTTTTATTTTATTTTATTTTTTATTTTATTTTTTATTCTATTTTATTTTTTATTCTATTTTATTTTATTTTTTATTTTATTTTTTATTTAATTTTTCATTTTACTTTTTTTTTATTTTATTTTATTTTTTATTTTATTTTTCATTTTACTTTTTTTTTATTTTATTTTATTTTTTATTTTATTTAATTTTTTACTTCATTTAATTTTTTATTTTATTTTATTTAATTTTTTATTTTATTTTTTATTATTTTTTATTTTATTTTTTATTTTATTTTTCATTTTATTTTATTTTATTTTTTTTTAATTTTATTTTATTTTTTATTTTATTTTATTTTATTTATTATTTTATTTTATTTTATTTTTTATTTTTTATTTTATTTTTATTTTATTTTTTATTTTATTTTTATTTTATTTTATATTTATTTTGTTTTTTAAGTGTGCTTATTTCTTTAATTCGTTCTCAGGGTTTTTTCTTTTTTATTTCTTTTTTTGGTTCCGTAAAAGCAGTCGCTTTGAAATCACCACCTTCTGTCCTGTAGGATATGTCCTGATCTTTAGAGCTTTTACCTTCTACCAAGGAGTTAGAGGCAAGGGATCTTCATCTTCCATCTCTGCACCTAGCCGATCTTCCCACCGAGGGAAAGTTAAAAGTTCCCCCTAAAAAAGGGGGAAAAAAATAAAAATAAATTTAAGAAAATAAATAAATAAACCGAAAAGAGTAAACGACCTAGAGGCGTTGTTACCTTTCCTAAGGAATTCTATTGGAATGGAACAGTCATGCAGATAATGTTAAGTAGAAAAACGAGTAGGTAAACTATAGCAAAAGAGATAAGTGCAAGGTAAAATCGTAAAGGCTCTTTTTCATTTGAGCACTTTTCAAATAGGACTTACAAGGTTAGGAAACAATACTAGCAATTAATAAATTTCACGTTCTTTCTGACTTCATGACCAAATGTTTATTTTTTCTTAAATTCAATATAAAAAGATTATACTCATCTTCTTTTATACACACTAACTAAAGTTGAATAAAAGAAATAAGCACAAATGAAAAAAGTGTGCATTAAAATCGCGAAGGAAGAAATGAAACAGAAAAGAATGAATGAGAAACAGTACATGTGTGATAAAAAAAAAATAAAACACACTAGTAAATAAAAAAATAGTACATAATACATAATACATTAATACTTGCAATGGAGAGTAAAATTGAATGGGTAAGTCCAGATTCGAACCCGGGAGCTGCAAGACAGGAGGTTAGCGCGCTTCTGTTTGGCCACAGCACACTTGAGAGGAGAGGCCGGTCAAGTCGCTGGATGTAGCAACTTGACCGGCGTTCATACGGAGGGCACATGGTGCTACTCAGTGGCACACAGTTGACTCGCCACAATGCCGGGCGGAAACATGAAAAAATCGTAACTTTAATAATCGATATTTCGAGAACGGTTGGGTGGTGGCAGCTTGTAAAAAGATGCGTCAATCTAGATTTGTCTATTTTTCGTGTAGAAGCAAAATGAACCCAATTTCAGGACGTCACTTCGTATTTTCCACTTGTTGGTCCTACACAATGTCTCCAAGTACTTGTCCTACAGCAAAAAAAAACTTTGTCTTAAAGTAACTTCTTCACCAGTTTTTTGTCTTTCTTGGACATTTTACCTTTTTTGAGTTCGTGTGTTTTTAAACTCACTGATTCAATTATGCAATTGTTTGTCCGTAAGCCACAGTGTAATGAACGGTTTTCCAAGTAATTTTTTTAAAACTTGCTTTTTTTTTTACTGTGCGACAAATGCTTTGTCCAAAATCTTCCTTTCCCTCACCAACTGGGCGACAAAAGGTTGGTTCAAGAACCTCTTTCCCTTATTCATTGTGCTACCATCCTCTCCCCTGCCCATCCGCTCAGCCGTTTCAAAGTGGCAAGCTTTGAACTTTGATTTTTTTTTTTTTTATTTGGACATATAAAAATAATTTGTACAAATATCACTTTTAGATGAAATTTCATCTTTAAATGCTTGAATTTGACTTTAATAATCCATATTTCGAGAACGGTAAAGATTTATATCATAGTTTACATTTTACATACATTAAACATACTGCCTCTGACTAATGAGTGGGTAAAACTAAAACAGATCTACTTCCGGGTGGAAAAGTTTTTTTACTTTAATTTTGGAAACTGTGGACAGCCGTTACTGGCCAAAGTCCTCGGAACCCCTGACTGCATTCAAAGAGCACATGGAGATTAAATTTAAATGAAAGAAAATTTTGAGAATTCCTGGATTCCAAGCTTGTGGGGTTTGCGATGTTTTAATCTTCGAATGCAACGGTTCCCTTCCAAGAGAGCTAACGCTTCAGGGTTGGGGTGTCCGTGCAGACGAAGTTCATAAAGGTGTACATTTTAGTATTGTAATCCTCCACTGAGTCAATGTGCGGGTCAGAACGGACATCTGCATTTCTCTCATACCATCTTCCTTTAGCTACACTACGTAGAATTTTCATTTGCATTATTTCAATCTTTTTCAAATTTGACTTAGCTGCACAACCCCACAATTGGCAACCGTAACTCCAGATTGAACTTTGATGGCAATTGCATATATATTTCCAATTTTAAGACGAATCTGTTCAGAGGGGAGGGTTTCAGGGGCTGATGCCCCCCCCCCCTTTATTCTGTCTCACATGATTATGAGAGTTCATTGACTAGCTTTGTCCACTAAAATGGACATTTGTTTTCAAAAGATTCTCAAGGACGAAATAAAATTATAACTGACTTCTTCTGAGCAAGAAATTCATCATGAAAACATAAACTAACCATAGGAACCTTGAAATTGGAGAAGAGCTTGGTCTTGCAGCACATGTTCATTTTTTTTCAACTTTCAAGGCGCAAGTAGGCTACATGGTTTGATTTTTTCATTTTGATCTCCTGGGACAGAACCTCGATGGTGTCAAGCTCAATTTTTTAAGAATACCCCTAAATTCAAGATGGCGTCCAAGATGACCGCCACGGAGGTGAAGTCGGTGAAATCGACTCCTACAGTCGAAACGTATATAGTTTCCTATTTTTTTTTTTTTTTTTGGTCGAAAATGTCAAATATGTGCTTCAAAATTTACTATGACCTCTTGGAGACCCCAAAATCCAAGATGGCGGTCGAATTTCACCCCTTAAAAGTCAAATGGGCATGTTTGCTCTGTTATGGCTAGTGAGGTGTCTTTCGTGAAATTTTTGGGGGCGTAAAGTCCATTTATGATGTTTAAAATTCCTTTTCGATTCATTTGGGGCCTCAAATTCAAAGATGGTGGCCAACATTGCTGAAATTTTGGATTAAAAAATGCGGAATCAGAGTCTCATATCACATGACGTATTCACTCGTGTAGATTGTTCAATTCGATGATTGAATTCAAAATTCACCCTGGCCCTTTGAGAAGCCCAAAATCTAAGATGACGGCCGAGTTTATCTCCTATAGGGTCAAGCAGTCAGCTTTTGCCTTACAATGGCAAGATATATGTCAATTTAAAGGTTAAACCCTTCCAGGCAAACGCACGAATTAATTCCTGTATCGCACGCCGGCTTTTGGGATGCGGTTTTCAAATCACCTACTTTTGACGAGCACTTCCTCAAAATTTCAGCCCATAGCAGCAGTAAAACTGAACGAGTTATGGTACAAATAATGAAAACATCTAAATGTCCGGGGTAAAAACCTAGGTTGGGGTCGCATTCGGCCCTGCGGAGACCTAGGGCTCAAACGGACTAGGAGAATTCGTAGAAGAAAGAGAAATTAATCTCTAGCACTGTTGGGAACCAACTCCCCCCCACCCACCAACATATTTGAAGCCAAAATGATGGATACTGATCAATAAATGTTCTTAAATCAAACTTAAGCACCATTTTATGCATTTTAGGTGTTGATTTGTTTGTATTTATATTAATGAATTGTACACTAACAAGGGGAACTTACGGACTTGCCGTCTCCAATTGGGCTGATTTTTTTTTTTTTTTTGCAGACTCTATGGACCAATTCACTAACCCGATTTTTTCTGTTTACCAGAATACGCTATAGGGAGGGCGTAAAAAATTACCAAACGTTGCGTTTCCGGCGGCTGATATTGTTGTATGGCTCCACTCGAGCAGTCTTCTATTCCGTTTTATCGCTCCACAACCCTTAATGTCAGCTAGAGCCTTACTGCACAGGCATGGCTGTAGCTTTGTGTCCAAGAGCTCCGGGTTTGCGTTCCGGTTCGATAACTTACTTTTTATTTTCTGCATGATTTGTAATTCTACACCGGTATTGATAAATCTAACAGCTCTGATCCCTCTGTCCTCCCCCCCCCCCCCTGTATGTACATTTATCCCCTGACGTTCGATCAAATTGACCACCAATTAACCGTTTGAAACTTCTTTTATGTATATAAGTAGAAATACGATTCTTTTCTCGAAAGAGAAGAAAAAAGATGAAGGCAAACTTTTTTGCCCTTGAGAATTTTCTGAAAACCAATGTCCATTTCAATGGACAAAACTAATCAATGAACTCTCATAACCATGTGAAACAGAAAAGAAGTGGCGGATCATACCCTGAAACCCTCCCCTCAGAACAGATTCGTCTTAAAATTGGAAATATTTTGCAATTGCCGTGAAAGTTCAAAGCTCGCTACTTTGAAACGGCTGGGCCGACGGACGGAGAAGAGGACGGTCAGGGTTGCCACAGAATTAGGAAAATGAAATTCCCTGACATTTCCCCGACACATTTTGGTACAATTCCCTGACAATTGAAGATGTGATAGCTGGCTAAGGAGACATAATTGAAAATAGTTTTCAGGCATTTGTTGTTCGAATCCTCAAACCTGTTCCTGAAAAAAATAAAGGTGATTGAACTTTTCGTCATTTTCCCTGACATTTCCCGATTTTCCCTGACCTTTTAAAATTCCCTGACATTTTTAGGTTTTCCCTGACTAAGGCAACCCTGGACAGTGGCACAATGAGTCAGGGAAAGGAAGATTTTTGACAGGCTGTCGCACAGTAGGTCATCACTCGAACCTTACGAGTTGATCCTGCAAAACAATTAAATAGCAATTTTGAAGTGGTCTTAGCCAATTTCCAAATTGTAGGAATGAAAGCGCTTCACATGACAAAGGCTGTAGACATGTTACGTTGAATAATAAAACAAATTATAAGAATTCCTTTGATATGACTTGATCTTCACACATCCAAAATATACGACCATTGTAATGGACAAAGCCAAGGAACAGGCGCGAGTAGCTTCGATCACTACAACAAAATCTTTTGCAAACTTTTTAGCAACACAAAATAGAATAAATAAAGAGACTAATGAAGAGATTGTTAATAATTGACGAGATGGATACTTTTGAGTCTGTTTCCATCCTCCAAATTTCTGGTGCCATTGAGTTTTAGGTTCATTATTACAGTTATCAACTTAGTTCTTTAGGCAATAGAGAACCTTGTTTTTTTCTTCTTTTTTTTTCATGTGTTTGGTATACATCTCCGAGAGGAGTGAAAGAAAATAAACATTTTAAAGAGCATTACCCAACATTGAAGTGAGTGTCATCATCAGACCATTTAAGCAGCACAACCACTTCAGAATTTTCGCCACAGCCAACTGAATAATCCTTCATGTCCTTCAAAGCATTTCTAAGAGCAGTCATACTTTCTGACGGAATATAAACCATGAAACCATCTTCCACTAGAACTGATTTTCCTGTGAGACCGCAAGGCTTTAAGGCTCCATTGAAAACGACAAAACTCGCACCAGTTATCTTCCGAGGTCGTGAATTAATATAAATTGCTTGCGTGAAATAAGATTCATTTTCGTTGTTCTGCATGCAAACAAAATGTGAATCTGCTTCATAACTAAAGTTCCCACTAAATGCTAAAACGCTATCATTGGAATTGTTGATTGCTTTGATTACTTGGTCATAGCGATTCCGAGGGAGAAGAATTGATGTTTGCCGGTCTTCCATATGAATTTTCAATCCACGAACAGATGATAATGTATACTCAAATTTCCGAAAATCTGCCAGAAAGCGAATAATAGTAGTGCCAATATCAAAATATAATGAATGCCTAAAACGGACTGAAACAAGGTAGCATGGATAGTATCGATATTCTGCCCCATACCTCAGCATTAATCTTATAGGGAACAACTTAGCCCACGGAGCTTCCCACCTGTGAATTAATAATCCAATTAGGTATGGAGCAGGAGGTATAAGTAACTTATTTACACATTGATAAGATGTTCTGATGAATAAAAATCCTCCGTGATCCTTAGAACCAAGGAAGTTAGTCATCTCTGTTGAAGCAAATGAAAGCTCACTATAAATAATGCCTTTGGGCGCTTGTTTATATATGGAATTGACAAATAAAAATATATCTTTGGGCGGTTTTTCTTCGTCCGGGAGGCACTCAATTACAAAAACAATTTCATCCTGACAAACACAGGCGAGTCCTTCCGTTGTAAAACACCAAACTTCTTTGTTGACACAACAATCTAGGAATAGACGTTTAACAACTAAAAGAAGATTTGGATTGATAGCAAATTTAATTGGTGGGTCTTCCAGTGTGATAGGTTTCTCTAAATCAGTAAGTTGAGTTTCACCATGTTCTCGGGTGATGATCCGAGGTAATATATTTTCAGGTAGACTACCGATTTCAACATATGAGGAATTATGCCGACACAATCCTCCTTTAATCAATTTGTGTTTGGAGCCTTTGCGATGATTCATTTCTGATACTCCTTCAACGGTTCGACTACTGCAGCTCATTTCATCTCCATGTTGGTCTGCTTTCATTTTAACTTGTCGACTTTGACGCTTAATAGATAACCGGGGCTCTGGAGCATCGTCAAGCTCTGTTAAATCACCTCCAGGTCTAATTCCATCACTGAAAATGACTTGCTTTGGAGTTTCAGACCTAGTGCGACCTTCACGTTTTAGAACTCCGACAGGGACTAGAACAGATGGAGGTGGCTGATGCAATGCACTAGCTGCTTGTTGTAATGGTGGAATTGTGGAGCAATACTCCATTGGGTTATTTGGATTGGGACGATTTGTTGACGAGGGTGATTGCTCAGGTTCTGGACCAAAACCCTTCTCCAGCACTGAGTAACACTGCTGACAAACTCTTGCTTCTGCATATTCCATATACTCTAATTTCGTTTTCATACTACAACACTTGGAGCAAAGCAACAACCCACAAGCTCGACAATGGTGACGCCTTCGGATTAGAGTGAATTTTGTTTCACAACGCATGCAGTTCAGAGTTTCACTATCAGGGACCCAATACGGTGAGGACTTTCCCAGTTTCCATTCACCAGAAGTTATGCTTGAAGCTTCCAGGTTAGATTCTGTCCCTGATTCGATAATATCTGAGGAAACTGTTATTTGAGATGATAATTGTAATGAGGTTGGACGCACAGGCCTTGATTCACCCGACAGTTCTAATGTACAATTCTCATTAGTATATACATTTTCATCTATGGTATTAGTTGCTTCACTGTACATTGAAGTTTCATTCGAAACAACATTAGATTCAATATCAGATAAAGTGTTTTGATTCTTTTCGGTATCCAAGCATATTGAGAGAAGATTATTTTGATCTTCAACCTCCGACTGATGTACAGGTTTTACAAATTCTTCGAAAACACACTCTCCTGAGAAAGAGGAAGCAGACAAAGTTGAGGCTTCACTGGTGGTTTCATCTTCTGCGGCTTCATTAGCTAGATTTTCATTTATCTCTTGAGCCTCCACACCGTTGTAGCTCTCTCTTGATGTGTCCTTCTCTTCAAAATTGTTTCCTACTTGTGGTCCTGAGTCAATTCTATCAGTGTTACAAATTTGAGAATCTGATGACAAGTCACTCTTTGCATTTGTATTTTTGTGGTGGATTGAACTTGTGCTGACTTCTTCCATTTTGGTGCATTTTTTGTCAAATGATATTTCTGATGATTCTCTAACGTCGCTGATGGTTCCATTCATTGGATCATTTGTGATAATAGTACTTTCTATGCTTTGCTGAAATAGTGCTTTTCGATCGTGGCTAGAACTCAATATTACATTATCTCCTGTCTCTTCAGACTTGAAGTCAACCACTTCAGAAACAGTCCTGTTAAAACTACTTTCCCCAGATTTCCCGCCACTTTCATTTACTTCTCTGACACTAGATGTTGCTGAATCAACGAAGCTCGCATCAGATGAGGATAGGAATACATCATTGTTAGAGTCACACTGAATATTGTAGTGAATGTTGAGGTTTTGGGAATCGCTTGTGTTAACTACTGAACTCTCAGCCTCATTAGAAAAATCTTCCTCTGTACTGATATTTAGAGGAACTGTTTCACTCCTCTCAAATTTTTCTACATTGGCTCCTAGTGCTTCGAGATTATTTGTCACAGAGTCGTGAAGAATTAGCGAGCAGTCATCAGTTGTGTCATCTTCCAGTTCATCTAGTTCATGCAGGTACTGCTCCAATTCACTATCGCTAACATTGTGCAAAGTATTGAATCCAATAGGAGCATTGGATGATGTATGTGGGGATTCTGCATTAAGGGCAGAATTAATAACACTACTGCTATTTATTAGATCCAGAGTAACATTTTGTGATGAAAACGTTGAAGCACTGATTGATTTTTTGCAGTTCTGTCCTGAAGCAGCCACATCTGGTAAATGAGAGTGCTTACTATCCAAAAATTCTTCGTGTGAATTGGTTGCCTCTGAGAACTTTTTAGTATCAATTAAGTCAGGCTTCTCATCTAAAGCTGTTTCGTGGTTCAACTTGATAGATACGACTTCAGGAGGAGGTAATAGAGAGTAAGGTGGCGGAGCTTCATACTCCAAAGGTACTTTCAGCTGCGAAGTCTTGATGATAGAGTGTATATATGGGTTTGAGTAACTGGCATTATCATCTGAAGGTGTTGACTTTGCAGGGTTGATATTGATATTCCAATTGGATTCACCAGAGTTAATTACACTTTTCTCATGGAGTGAGATATTCTGCTCGGGGATCAGCCTGGAGTATAGCGAAGCATCAGACTGATTGGATTTGGAGATTAACTTGCTGTAAACACTGTTGCCATTGCGTAAGTTATCTTTTTGACAGTACAGTGTGGAATTGTAGTATTCTTCATTGTAGTTGTGCACTGTTGTTGACTGTGGCGAGGCTGCAAAATCTGCTTCCGCTAGATTGATAGGCTCAAAGGAGGGTCGCCTGTAACTTGCAGCTGGTGGCCGAACAGATACATTCTGTTAATGAAAAAAATAAAGTATGTATATAAAGAATGTTTGGACTAATAATCTGAGGGAGAGTGACATACTTGGGATTTCTTAATCTCCTCAAAATCACCTCAAAGAGGATACATCCAACGTCAGCTAATCCAGAAGTGTAACCCTCCACTTCTGCTCTGCCTGTAACTCTCTGGACTCATCGGTTTCCTCAAGATATGACCAATTATCAATTTTTAACATCCTTGGTGAAAAAAACTTAATGAATAACGAAAAACTTTAATTTCCGACAGTGAAATAAATTTTTTCGTTTAATGATGTCCATTAAACGAAGGCATGCAGGGCCCATTTCGGCCAAAAATTAACATACGGCTGGATTTGGGCCCAATCGATTCTACGTATAAAAGGTTGTTTTTAGCCAAAAGTCTCCACTAATCCCTTCATGGAAATCTGCAGAATGGTTCGATTAAGTAGGAAATTGGACAGAGGCCACTGTTCAAAATCGGCGTTTTTGGCCCCCCAGAGAATCGTGTCATATTTTGGGGGCTGATCTGAGAAGCCTAAATATGGTCGGTTTTTTGCCCTAAACCCAGGGAACAGGGGGGTGGGAGGTGAAAGTCCAAATTCTTGAATGCCTGCAACTTTTGGACGGTACAAGTTACTGCAATTTACTTTTTTGCGTTGGATTTAGCGTAAAAATTACTGTAATTTTAAGTGGTTGAATTTGGCACAAAAGAAGATTTTTGACCAAGTAAAGAAGATTTTCCGATGTAAATCCCATTTTTTCCAGCCTTTGTTTCGTAATTTTGACATTGTGCTATCAGGTATTGTTGTAGGGACCTTAAATCTATTATTTCCTGGAACTAGACACTCTAAGCTCTGAAGTGAGCCTAAGATTATCGTGAGTAAATGGTTTCTAACCTCGCTACAGTCGTTCAAAGTTGGCGCGACGCACCTCATAGGGCTTCTCGCGCGGCAAGCGTCCCGTTGAGCGTTGACGGACTTTTCCAGCACCATAAAAACTGCAGATGAGGGGAGTGAGCGCATAGACGCGATACAGTTACTCCTTGAAAAGTTATACATTGTATTTTTCTGTACATTAGCCGATTTAAGTCATATATGAAATAAAATTAACACCACCAAAAAAAGGAACTCACCCGAATTTCACTCATTGTTGTATCCTTCATTTTCTTTACAGACTTGATCCTGATCTTCACCTTCATCCTAGCTGATACCCTGGAGCATTTTGTCGTTTTTTAGTGGAAAAATAGACTCATTTTAGAATTCAGCCGGATATCTCAGACTGTTTTCATGACAATGAAGAAAATGGTGGACACGACCGTGAGTGAAATTCGGGTGAGTTCCTTTTTTTGGTGGTATTAATTTTATTTCATACATGACTTAAATCGGCTACTGTACAGAGAAATACTATGTATAACTTTACAAGGAGTAACTGTATCACGTCTATGAGCCCTCCCCCTCATCCGCAGTTTTTATGGTGCTGGAAAAGTCCGTCAACGCTCAGCGGGACGCTTGCCGCGCGAGAAGCCCCAAGAGGTGCGTCGCGCCAACTTTGAACGACTATAGCGCGGTTAGAAACCATTTCCTCACGATAATCTTGGGCTGACTTCAGAGCTTAGAGTGTCTAGTTCCAGGAAATAATAGATTTAAGGTCCCTACAACAATACCTGATAGCACAATGTCAAAATTACGAAACAAAGGCTGGAAAAAATGGGATTTACATCGGAAAATCTTCTTTACTTGGTCAAAAATCTTCTTTTGTGCCAAATTCAACCACTTAAAATTACAGTAATTTTTACGCTAAATCCAACGCAAAAAAGTAAATTGCAATAACTTGTACCGTCCAAAAGTTGCAGGCATTCAAGAATTTGGACTTTCACCTCCCACCCCCCTGTTCCCTGGGTTTAGGGCAAAAAACCGACCATATTTAGGCTTCTCAGATCAGCCCCCAAAATATGACACGATTCTCTGGGGGGCCAAAAACGCCGATTTTGAACAGTGGCCTCTGTCCAATTTCCTACTTAATCGGACCATTCTGCAGAATTCCATGAAGGGATTAGTGGAGACTTTTGGCTAAAAACAACCTTCTATACGTAGAATTGATTGGGCCCAAATCCAGCCGTATGTTAATTTTTGGCCATCAAAATGCTTCGTTTACTGGACTAACTCTTAAAAAAAGAGGTTGTTCTGAAACCGCCTCTCCTGCCCCTCTTGGATTTGGCGCACACTTTACTCAGATGTTATGGTAGGTATTCCAAATGCCTGCGAAAAACAGTCCCCTCGGATATTAAGAGGGGAGGAGCCAGGGGGGCGAAATGGCCAATTTTGCAAAACTGTAACGATTTGAGTGTAGCAGTTTGCGCTAAAAATCGTCAACAAATATTCCTGAAAATATTCCATGCTGTTTTAAAGGTTACACAATTTATCGTAGTCGTCAGTCGATTATTTTGATTCTGATTTTTTTCAGTTTATTACACTTCTTTTCTAGGCGATCGTTTGTATGTAATCAAGAAAAACCCGTACAATCCCCGATTTGCTGCGTTCGTGTGCGCACGTCGACCTGGCGTCTTTTGCAGAGTTTTTGTTCTAAAAGTGCCCCTTCTGCCTTAGGAAGTGTATGTTTTTATTGGTGGGTGATTCCACTCTTCGTTTTTTTTCCTCTCAAAGCATAGGCCTTTCACAATGCCAGAAAAGAGTGAAACAGTGAATGAACCGAGTGCTTTTAACAACTCCTACGCCAAAATGGCGGATCAACACCAACATCGCCGAAAAAACGGTAACATCCTAACACCATAGGATCCACAGGACCAAGGACTTCCCTCCCAAGTTCATCACACCACCAATACTTCTGCGATCTGAAACCCTCCAACCCAGCCCTCCCAGCTATTCGACAATGAAAAGTGCTTCGCTCTCTTTGTAGTCAATGAATCCAAACTTCCGGTGGATGACCAAAGGAATATCCCGCACATCTATCCTCTCCAACTTAGCAGGATACTCCGACAAACAGAGAGGAATGGAATTATTTCTATTGTCAAAGTCTATCGGAATACATCGCAAGTAAGCTTCAAATCCGATATGATGCCACCATTTATAGCTAACCACAAACTCGACCACAGAAAATATTCAGTATTCATTTCTAGGTATAGAATCCTTAAAAAAGGGGTAATTAAAGATATACCTCCCGAATACTCTGAAGCAGAAATTAAAGAAATGATCTCCTGCGATTATGAAGTCTTCGAAGTTAAAAGAATGCATAAATTTGACCGAATTCAAAAAGTTGTGTACCCCCTCTCGTTAGTGACAATCACCTTCGTCTCCAACTCCCTTCCTAAGATGGTTAAAATGGACTAATCTACAGGGTGATCCAAAAGTCCCTTCCACCCCCTATAACTTTTTACCTAATTGAGGTAAAGATTTGAAACTTGGGGAGTGAGGTCAAAGAGAGCTACTTTTAGGTCTCCCTAAAATTTTCAGGGGGTCCTCCTTGGGGGAGCAACAGACCCCAACTTTTTTTTTCAAGTGGAAAGACCCTCTTTAAGATGGCTCGTTCAAAAGAGCATAAAAAATGAAAACTTTTCGCGCAAACCTGAAGTCAATATCTCAAACCGTTTCAAAATGGCGGCGGGTTGGTTAAAGTTCAGAATGGCCGAAACTTTACATCGGTTCTTTCTAGATAGATTTGGAAAATCGATATCCGAGGGTATTATGACGTGAAAAAAACGAATTTGACGTTAGATTTTTTTTAAAAAAACGAAATTTTCAAAATGGCCGAAAATTGCCGACTTGGTTTTTTGCTGATGAATTTGCCAAAAACTTGCAACTTGAGGGTATTTTGGCATAAGATTAAAACATACGAACTTAGATTTCCGAGGAAAAAAAAAATTTCGGTCATTTTGAACTTTAACCGGCGACCATTTTGGAAATTTCGGTTTTTTTAAAATCTAACGACAAATTCGGTTTTTTTTCTTGTTAAAATACCCCTGGCTACCTATTTTCACGCAAATCCATCAAGAAATATCCGGAGTGAGGTTCCGGCCATTTTGAACTTTAATCGGCCACCATTTTGAAACGGTTTGAGATATTGACTTCGGGTTTGCGCGAAAAGTTTTCTTTTTTATGCTCTTTCAAACGAGCTATCACAAAGGGGTCTTCCCATTTGAAAAGAAAAAGTTGAGGTCCCTTGCCCCCTGAAAATTTTAGGGGAGCCATAAAGTAGCTCCCTTCTAGGAACATTCTCCAAGTTTCAAATCTTTACCTCAGTTAGGTAAAAAGTTAGAGGGGGTGGAAGGGACTTTTGGATCACTCTGTATTGCTCCGGTTGAAATGTATATTAACTCAGTGCAATTATTTTTCAATTGTTTTAAGTATGGCCACATCCATCGCTTTTGTCGTGGTAAAAAAAAGTGACCGACCTCAGCTGCCTCAACTTTGGCGGCCCCCATTTATCCACCAACCACAGCTGCTCCAGCAGAAAAGACTATCGCAAAGTCGACGACATTATGACCGAAAGTAATATTGGCTTCAAAGAAGCACTAACAATTAAAGATTCCTACAGTAACGACTACAAATTTGGCAATAACAGGAACAAATCCTCCAACCGGGCAAGAAGTCCTCACAAATCTAGAAGTAAAAATTGGTTCAGTCCACTAGAATCTGAAGATTTTCCAGAACTTGCAAGTTCTCAGAAATCCAAACCCTTAAATAAGAAATTGATCAGAAGTAAATATCGTGGAAGACTATCCTACCCTGCAAAAAAAAAAAAAAGGAGCTGACGAGGACTTCCCCAGCGAGTGGGTTGAACGCCTGAGAAGCCGTGTCCCTTCTTCCTCTTCATGCATTTCTTCCGATTACACATTAAAAGCCCCGACCTCCCATCTGACTCCGCTGCCGAATGAAACCTCCAACATAAATTCCAATCTAGAATTTGTAAGTTACAAAATTGAACAAACAAACGACCCCTGATTGAACTCTGCCATGGACACCTCAGACATTCATCCTAA